ACTGAGAAATTCCAAAGGAAGTTAGCTGTGGCTTTATTGTTCATATATAAATATCATACAACTGGAGAAATTAACTGAAAAGACAAAAAAAAATAAAGTTTTCAAATTTTCGGAGTACATTCTCGTCGAAAAATCCCTAATAATCAAACCTCGATATCATGATCAATCGGCCACTGGCTGCACAAGCGGTGCTGCTTTATCTTAATAACTTTCAGAGCAAGTCATCATCTTATACTCTCAAAGCAGATGCCCCTAAAAAATTCTTTGGCTCTTTCCGGCTGTCAACAAACGTATGTGTTGGAAAGCCAAGGGTTGCATTTACAGCTCTTATTGCGTCCAGAAAATTAATCTAGTAACGAAAATTCAAAAGAAAATGGTCTGAATGTAGAACTTTCGATCAAAATATGAAAAGTGAAAGCTCACAGCTGTTTTTTTTAAAACAGAAGATCTGATGAATCCAATCTAACAACAGCTGTGCTTGAGATTTACGTCATCAAACTACCATGGAGTACGAGGAAAAAATTAAAATAATAAATTAACGTCAACGATTTTAAGACTATTTTTGGAATAAAATGAACAAAATTAGAATGAGGCTGGATTTCAAAATGAGCAGCTGTCTGCTATTTACATATCAAGAGGCTTAGAATAAATAATTGGCTTGACGGGTTGTCATCACGGGCACAAAGAAAACAAGAAAAAAATCGATATGGTCTGATTGGAATAAATAATAATTTTTTAAGTGTTATTATAATTGCAAGTACAGATATTCCAGAATATTTTTGTGAGAGCATTAAACATCATTACTCCGTTTCGTCCCCCCCCCCCTAGACAAAGTTTAAGGTGATTTCTAGGTCTTCCTCGGTTAAATTTCTGTTGGAGCTGTCAAAAGTAGTAGGCTAACTCGCACTCTCGCAAAAACTGAAATACAATACCTCAAGTTATTTTGAAAGAAAAATAACAATCGACGGTTCAGCCGTAAAACCAAACAACAAGCTACGATCAGTGACATGGCGAGAGTAATACGAGAACAGCTGCGTTGTCTAATGTGTGGAATGAGAAGAATAAGATCTAACGATCAGAAATGACGAATGACAGATGGTTGTATTTACGGGGGAAAAATTCTTATCAAGGCTGAAGGTTTTTCTTGAAATGGTCTAATCAACAATTCTCAATCCATCAGCAATGAGTCAATTCCAGTAACTTATCTTTTTTTCTTTCTTGAGTGACTCATTTCTGCGTTTACGAGATTCAGTATTAGGATTAATGGCTGATAGAACATCAATACAAAAAAAAATTTGTTGAAGAAACCGGTTTTGTTCTTGAGATATCAGACAATTACATGGAGCCAAACACTAAAAATGACTGGAACAAATGTGTAAAAATTTCTTGGCATTCCAGAACATTCCACGACATATACACTGCGAAACAAAAGAAAAACACTTGCCCATTTCGAAATTCCCTGTCTAGGTTTTTCTAACGGCTGGGGTTTCAAAATGAGCAGCTGTCTGCTATTTTCACATTAAGCTCAGAATAAATAGTTGGTTTGACGGTTTGTCACTACCACGGGCACAAAGAAAACAAGGAAAAAATCGATATCGTCTGATTGGGATAAATAATGAAGGAAGGCTTTGGCAAAACAAACATCTCTGTTCTTAGCATCTTCAGAGAGCAGAACAAAGTATTTTCGGCTAAGTCACAACATTGAACAGTACGATTTTTGCAAATTTTTTTTCTCGTAGTTTATTCTAAAAATTGCGGAAATTTTCATGTAAGGCATTTTCAGGCCCCCCCCCCCCCTCCTTCAAGTCTTTTTTTGAGAGAAGACAAACACAAACAGTTTGATTAACAAAAACACTGCGTGCGAAACATTCATGATATCATCTATTCGCTTTGCCATTGATTGTTGGAAAAAAGGTGCCACGTTCTGATGCCTCAAAAAAAAAAAGAAAAATGCACACCCGTTTTCTCCCGGAAACGTTTATCAAATTGAGGAAAATCATAAAAATACATTCATCACGATTTTCAATGCCGATAGCACAACTCAGCACTAAATGAAATCTTTACGGCTCGGATTGAGTGGGTGATCAAAAGCACTGCTCTTAATATGGATATTTTCAAAGAAAAGAAACTGACTGAAGAATGAGGAAAAATGTTATTTTTTTTTAGAAATTATAAATATTATTATGTGTGCTGTAAAAACTCGCTATTATTTCTTTTCGCAAAAAAATTGCAAAATTTGCAAGCTGAAACTGCGAAAATCGAATAAAAACTCGATCGAATATCTGGAGTTTTATGATTTTTTCTAAGCTGATTCCGGTCAAACTTGCAAAGTTTACTCAAAAATAATTGAGAAAGACATAGTAGGACGTAATTTGCGCAGAAAAGTCCTAAGTACAAAAGTAATAATTATGAATTACAAAATCGTAAAAATTGCAGGTTACGAGAAAGGGCACGGTGAAGTAGGAAATGGGTACGGGCAAGAGCGCAGCGAGCTTAGTGATCGATTCGATGATGGCGTCATGGTCAACGCAGCTGCTGAAAAAAGAATTAAGCAGACGGGGAGAGAGTAATGGACCCGAGTTTTATCGCCCCGCAATGATCCCGGAAGGAAAACACTAGAACGACAAGAATAAGCCAGAGTAAATTCACGTGCTTTTGCTCATCCATGCAGCTGAGAAAACGAAAATATGCCTGAAGAGCACGTGGTGGCGAGACATTTGCAAACTATCTTTTGTCCTCTTATCTCAACAAGAAAAAAAACGAGAAAGTAGAGGTGTAAAGGTTATCGAGCGATGACTCTGCAAACATACGGGCGTTTTATCGGGCAAGCAAGATGGGACGCTCTCCGATAGCAGTGTTGCCGAGAAACTTACAAAGAATGTTGGAAAGCTTTGGCTTATCGATAGGCCATGAGAAACCAGATGCTTTGACGAAAAAATCATGAGAAAGTTTCAGAATGGCACGGCATCAAAATGTGAAAAGAAACTGCATTCATCTACGTCGGACATTGACTAAGAGTGCCACAAAAAAGGCATTCTCAGAGTTAGCTACTTTTTTGCTTGATCTCTTCACAAGGCTCTTCACTGCCTCTTCCACTGATAAAAAGTTCAAGCAGTCGGAGTTAGCACCTTCGTTTCTAAGTAAGAAATGGTCGGAAATTAATATTCCCATTCTAAACAAGCTGTGCATCATCGGACTAGCCTTGAAACACTTGATTTCAAATATGCGTTTGTTGTTCGCCGAACGACTATCTGGACGGAATTATGAGTGTTCAATCCTGAGAAACTCTTGAAACTCCATTAAATATAGTTAAAGTTCGTTGAATAATAGCCTGAGGGCGTGGGTTTACGGTGGCTGTGGATATCAATCATAAGGAAGAAGAACAATCACCAGAAATTTAGGTACATGTTCTGAAACGTATTTCATGGAACCTATATCATAAAACACTTAACAAATCGAGCATTTAGACGCCGATAACTCCTTCCAGATAGTCGTTCAGCAGACAATGTACATTTATTTGAAATCAGCGTTCCGAGGCGAGTCCGAAAATATACAGCTTGTCTGGTATGGCGCTAAGCTCTGACTATTATCTGTTAAGCAGAATGTTGTTTCCTCTCGCAAGTTCCTGCGTAATTACTTCATCAATTTTTTTGTCGTTTTAACAAAGTCAGTTGAACTGACTACTTGAAAAATTTTTCGAAGGGGGTACTTACGAGATACTTTTCGAACATCCAATGCGCTGGCAGCGCTAATTACAGCACCTTGAAACTTTAGTGTGTCAACGACACTCAATAATAATGTCTAAAATAATGGTGATCAGAAAAAAAAACATATAAGATCAGAAATAGCCCCTTCAGAACTTATTGAAAAGATGCAATCCAAACCGGTAGCAGCCTCCGGTGCAATGAAGTGAAAGTCAAGATACCTCTGAGCGTACGCTTTTTTTAGTTGAAAAATCAAAATGTTAGGAGGAAAGAAATTTCTATGGTAAGTTAATTGTAACGCAAAACTGGCTAGTTCCAAGATCAAAATAATCGTAAGATCATCTATCTGTGTTTGCTCTGATATAAATAGGTTTCTTGATATGCACTTCTGTTTTGTTCTACAAGAAAAGGAATTTCAACAATGTTTTCCATATATGAGCCCTTTATATGTCACTCCCTGCTCTTGAATTACCAGCTAACTGGTACCGAAACACTTTTTTGATTTATCGCAGCCGTGTCTGTGTCTCTGTCAACCTTTGAGCGATAGCATCGACTTATTTGTACAATGTTTCACGGCCGTTGGTCATGGAGTGATAACACCAGCCATGTCTCGGAAAAAAAGTTCAAATGTCTCATGATGTACTAACACTTCGTGCATCTCTTTTGCTTTTTAAAACAAAGCATAAAAAGTTAGTAACATACGTCCGCACGTAATGCGTTTGGTAGTTTCTCCCAGAAACTTTTTTATTTGCACATATGCTTATTTGTTGGTCTTTGTCCTCTAGCATTCGTCACTGTCTTCTGAAATTTTTCTGGGCGTAGCTGGTCTACTTTGAGTAAATATGGGAGAGCAATGGACTGAATTCGCGAATCGCTCTCAAGTTCTCAAAAACTGAGGGTAAAGATCTATTCGCTAATCGTTATCATATTTAACTAGTTAATAAATAATTGCAATAATCTAACTGGTCAATAAATAATTGCTTTCATTTCTCACAAATGATCCTGGAAACTTCGCAAAATAATTCTGCGAATGTTTTAAATGAAGATGTTCGCAAAGGTGATCCGTTTTCCTACACTATGGATTATTCTGATTTTCACACCTGGAGCCTTTTCCCGCTGTGACGATTCTCGATAAACAGAACATCTGTTATATCTTTGTGAAGTCATTTAGGAAACTTAGTTTTTGAATACTAAACTGGAATTAGACTCTTGTTATTCCATGTTCTTGATACTTTGTCGACTTTCTTGACTCCTACAGTGCGATCTGTAACCTCAGGAGAAACAGACCATTCGGTGATGTCAAATCTACACACTCGCGGAAATGGCCTTTGTGGAACTTTTGTTGAATGGGATGACATCGAGCGAAGTATACAAAGGGAGACAAATCGCAAAGTGCTATTAGGACCAAACAAAACCGCCCGACAAGTGGGAGATGGGCAAGTGAGTGTAGAAATTCTGCAAGAAAATGCTCCAGTACTTCTTTACGATTTGCGATGAGAACTGTTTATGGGATTGTATTATGATAAATAATAAAGAGAATGATACGCAGAGCATCTTATTTCAAAACTTTTCCCGAATCTTGACAAAATGAGCTTATTATTTAGGCTAATTTGACCCATGATTTGAGCAAATCTTTATCCTTCCTTGACAGAATCGAGCAATTAAGGGTGCCACTTCTTGCATAGCAATTGTGGACCCAGACCTTCAGGGAGATGCAGAGGGATTGCCTTCAAGGTACGCTTTCAAGTTTATTTGGAGCTAATCTTTCCAGCACCGTTCCGGTGGCATTCTAGCGCCGTGTTGGCACCGTGCCCCTGCAAGGGTAAGGTGTCGACCGCTGCGCATAAAGAGTACTTGGCTTCCGGCATGGCGCTGGCACGGCGCCGGCACGCGGGCAACTCTGGATGCACCAAAGAGATATTTGTGAGAGTCTATTCACAATTTTCTTTTCACTTGTATGTACCATTGTGCCAATTTCTTTGCAGGCAAATCTATATTGAGAACTAGTGGCGCTTTTATTGTTTGTGTCTTAGCCATTTTTGATGTGAATCAAAATCACTGAGGATTAGGGATTTGATTTAGAGGTTTTTGATATTTTCTACACTTTCCGCATCACTAAGAGGTAGCATGCTGTGATTATTGCATCTCTCACTGACGATGGGATTTCTTATAGCCAAGATATTTCGTACGATGAGGAACTCTGACTAAACCGAACACAAACTATTTTTTCTCTGAAAACCATCTTAATCAACATTGCTTTACGAAAGCTATATCATCAGTATGAAAGCGAAGCAATGATCTAGATTATGAATAGACAGTGCCTCGAAAATCAAAGGGTTTCTAGTTTCTTTTCGAAGCACAACTGAAATATTCAAAAGAGTTTGAGATTATCCAAAAATTCCGAATCTTAATCAGGTTCGCTGTGAAAATGGCGAGCAATGTTGGAGCAGCTCAAATAATAAAATTAGTTGGACACGGACTTGGGCCAGATGTGGATGTGGAAAGTGCCTGCCTGGCTTACGATGAGATAGCGAAGGAAGTAAGTAAAAATGACGCTATCAACTATGAGATTTCTTTTCTCCCCTCCTCTCTTCCCCATCCAAGAAGTTGACACATTGCGTTTTCCACTGATGGCATCGAATTCCTATAATAAGAGGGGAGGGGAGCCTAGAAACCAGATCTTTTCAAAACGGCGAACTCAACGGAGCTGGGGATAACACTCATTTTCTTCAATTCTGATTTCTTGTAACTTAAATTTTAGGGACATAACCGCGAAATAAATGTCTATCGTATGTTCAATAATTGTGACAGAGAAATCTCCAAGATGCCGCAATTTTACTTTGGCACCGAATTCTCCAACGATAACAAGATGAAAGGTAACGAGCTACGGTACTTGTTCTTATGGACATCCAAATAAAACTTGTTGCAGGTGTCATAGGCATGGAGCTGATAGAAGATACGGAAACCCTACATATTTTCCACAATGTGAAACCAGACGAGCTCTCAGATGCAAGTTCGAAATTTTTTTCTATTATGAATGGCATTTTCCTAGGTCTTATAAGTGTCTTTCTGTGATTATTTTTTTTTTATCTTTTGTCTCCATGGTGCTGGCTCCAGTTGAATCAGATGGAACCACATGTAGTGCTGCTTGGATTCAAATAGAGGCTCAATTCTCAAAATTTCACTGAAATTTTGCAAACAAAGCTTTCTGCTAGTGCTCAGGAAGTTTCTATACAACCTGATGGTTTATAATTCTTTTACAACCTAATGGTTTATGTTTGAGGTTCTCCGAGCCATAGCTTATCTGGAGGCGAAAAGCTTAACTTTGAGTGATGAAAACATGCAAAAACTGGGCAAAAATCCCATTCCAGCCCTCTACAGAACGATAATGGATTCAAAGGTGAGTTCAAAGGTTCCTTAGGATTTCGAGGATGGCTAAAATACTCTTAAATTATAAAATGGATGAGATGCTTAAAAAAATGCCTGTTGATTCGAAGATCGATTGCAAAAATTATAAGGCCTTTACTCAAATGTTTATCAAAATAGTTTCAGGCTATATCCAAGTGGCTACAAGAAATATCTGCTGAGTCAGATTCACTAAAGCCCCTTGTTGAGGCCCTGGTAAAAATGGTTGAGGAGCTGTTCGTTCCCATGTTGACAAGCACATTGAGCAAAGAGTTGAGTAGGTGATTATTTTTTCTCTTACTAAATCAAAATTGCAAAACACCAATAAAGGAATGGAGTCTTCAATTTGTTTATATTGATATCTGAATACCTTGTCAAAAGCAATTCCTTATAGGAAAAAACATTGTTTAGCAAAAGAATAAAAAAGCTGATTCGATCTGAATTTTTATTTCAAGCTTAGTAAACGTACCTCGTAAAGAGATTTGAGGTAGAAAAAAGCTTAAAATATTAAAAAAAGCTTGTCATACAGATATAATGTAAATGACTTGATGCCTATTGAGTTTCTAGTGGACGTTTGTGAAAGAATGATGTTGATATTCTTCCACTGATTTAGAGCAAGACTCTCACATTTTGCTTGCAGATATGAAAGATGTGCTTGTTCATGGTGATTTATGGGCACTGAATCTGATGTGGACAAAAAGCAAAAATGGATTGAAGTTGAAGAAAATCATTGACTATCAGGTCAGTATAAGCTTCCAGGCCGAGCGTTTAGAAATTCTGCTGTCTCGCCCCTCTTTAAATCTCAAAATGTATCTTTCCCGCAGTTTGTGCATTTTGGATGTGCTGCGGAAGATTTGGCAAGGTTATTTATCACCACACTTTCTGGAAAGGATCGCCGTGAGAACTGGGAGCGATTACTGGAAGAATTTCACAGCTACTTGATGCAGTACTGCACAGGAGAGCTTCCATTTACTCTTGTACAGGTTTGACTATTTTTAAAAGGACTTTAACATCAGTAAAATCGCGATTTTGTCATAGAGTAGGAAATTTTCGGGAATGTTTGAAAGATAAACAGATAATGACATTATTTCAGCTCAAGGAATCCTACCGTAGGATATTTCCACTTGCTGGCTTTTTCCTTATTGAGGTGTTCAACTTCGTGCCTAAGGTGCGTTTTGTGAAATTCGAGTCTGATTGCATTTGTTCAAAAATTCTCTCGAACCTGGAGAACATGATTTTTCTTCTTCGTAATATATTGCTTTTCTGCAAAACGTATAATTCCTCCCAATTGAGTCCTTTTTGGCAACTAGCAAAAATTCTTCGAATTTCCTCAAAGCGAACTTATTCCGTCCGTAAAACAAAGCAAATAAGCTTATAACGCAATGAAACTATAAAATTACACAATCTAGCTCGCAAAATGGTAATAGTTTGTTTGATTCTATTTTTGTTCAGATGGCAGGCAAGGGAATGTCAGATGCCGAACAAAAGGCAATGAAGGGAATCATTCTGGAAAAGACAGCTGCTCTATTGGAGGATATGCTGCATTTTGCCGAAAGGAAGCAAAACCTGCCTAAGAACAATATTGATTAATAAGTATTTAAGGCTTATGTGCGATCTCATGGGAACAAACACATTACCGAGTTCAGCATCACGATAAGAGCAAACATCCTTCTCACTATCTATCACGCCTCTCAGAGGGAGCTCCTCTCAAAGTCACACTTAACAAAGTCTACTAGGTTGTACCGGGTTTCGTTCGGCTCCTTTCGACATACTATGATGACTTTAATCATTTCGCTCCAATTTCAACAGTGCTTGCTTGCCCCTTTCCCACATTCACATGCCGACTCCCTCCTCATTTTGTTTCCGTAGCACGCCCACTATCTCTGCCCCGGCGGGTGTCATAGGCTACTTTTCGTCATCGATCGATATCGATTTTATCGATTTTTTGCAAAATTTGAGCTACGGGGCTGGGAGTTGGCACAGGGGGTAATCGAGCATGCTGATCACCCCCTAGCTCAAATTTTGCAAAAAATCGATAAAATCGACATCGATCGATAACGAAAAGTGGACTGTGACACCCGCCGGGGCCCGAAGTGTATGTGTGCCAAGTTTGGTCCGGATCGGTTGAGAAATGGAATTTTCTATTCGGAACATACGGCGGAGCCGGGTAAGCTACCTAGTTGCTTATAAGCCACCTGTACTGAACCCCGATAGGATTAGTTCTGTTCCCAAAGCTTGCGCTAAAAGGATAAATCTTACAGATGTGTGGATGGTGGATTTTTAAAAATATATCATCCGTTAAAAAATACGTGGTATAGACCATTACACCATCTTTGGAAGGGAGGGGGAGAGGGGGCGCAACACCGTTCGCTTGCAGTAAGATTGCCGCCTTCATTCAGTAATTCGGGTCCGCTGACGCCCAAAACGTCTTCGTAAACTTTAAAACGACCAAGATTCTAGACACAAATCTGGACAAAGCAATTTTTCCTTCACCTTTGCTATGCTGCAAATCGAACGTCTACGTCATTGTGAAAGGGCGTCGGTATTTGTCTTGTGTTCCATTTATGTAACTTTCCTTCCTTCTGTGACTGAGGATTTACTGGTCTTTTGCCTATTTTTCTGTGTTGCCAGACTTTCTGTTCGATTTCGTTTCTTAATGTGGTGCACCATGAGTGCATACATAAAAGAAAATAAAAAAATCAAGAGGCTTCAAACAAGCAAAAAGGATGGGGTTGAAGTCGGCTCAAAAGGCAGTTATAGGTTTTTAGGAAGGTAAAAATTATGTCAAAGGAAATGCGGAAAATTTTTTGAGCCAAGAGGAGGGGTATGACAATATGCTGTTCTGAGCATTCAGGCTACTCGGCAAGTGGCTCGAAGACATAAATCTGAAAAAAAAATTTGACCCTACGTATCACAACGTTTTTATAATTTTTATACATTTTTCGACTCCCCATTGCCATACAAGCAGTAAATTTGTGACATGATATAATTTGTTCGATGTAAACAAGCCATTTATGTATTTCGGTGGCTACCATTAGATCTCGATCTGCGTGAGAATAATAGAAGTAGAAATAGTTGCTCTAGCAGAGATGTAATATACGAGACTTATGTGACAATGGAAGGGGGACTTTGTTTGTTGTGTGTGGGAAGGGGGGTGGGGAGGTACGGAACAATGTTTTGCTGACCTGATGGCCGTAAATATGACCTGCCCTCTGAAGAAGTAATTTCATAGGCTCATTGAAACTGCAAAGATTTATGTTGATGATCTTTAGCACTTCCATTGGGTTTATCTTGATAATCTTTAGCACTTCCGAATGTCGTGAGAACCCTACAGTCTGCCCCAATTCTAACCAGGCCAAAATTGGCTTGGCGGGAGTGCGCGTCGAGAGGGTTTCGCGCCACTTTTGCGTCTAGCTAGTCTGCTCTCTCCTCAATCTTTTCGCTCTCTGCGAAAAGATTGAGGAGAGAGCATGTATTTTCTGTATTTTCCCTTTCTTTTTAAATCCGAAACAATATGCAGATTTGCCATGTCCCCTGTCGAACCCTTATCACAAACATTTGTTGGATGTAAACGATGAACGCGGGAGCGCATTGCTAGTGAATGGGTCATAAAGCCTACTTTCAGTGTACTTTTAATAACTTCGCCGATATGTAAACCAAAGCTATAGTTCCTTAATTCTTTGAAACCTTCTTTTCTTTGACCTGTCGACGACTTGTCTACGGAATTTGAGTGCTTCCATATTGTGTGCATTTGAAAAATTGATTTCGTAAATGTTTGCAGACTCGAAGCCTAGTAGACTGGAATTTTTACACTTGCAGTTCCCACATTTTTTACTTTACAAATCTGCATGTTATCGTCCTCTCGAGTAAGTGGATACTTGACAACTATACCGGTTTTCTCTACCTATACGCATGCATGTATTTTCCTTCTTAGACTGAGCATGGATTTCGTAAAACCTGGTGCAAGGTAATGAGCGGTTAGTTGTGCTCAGAAAGCGAAATGCACGTTGCTTATATTTCCACTTGGTTTTCGTTAATCACAGTTTTGTGACATGCCTTTCAAGAAAAACTGAAGCTACCATGCAAAAATTCCAAGGAAAGTGGTCAGAAACATGGTCTGTCCAGTGCAAACAAGCTGTATATCACCGCGCCTTTTTGAAAAGTTGACTCCAAATATATGTTTATTATCTGCTTAGCGACTGTCTGACAGGAGCGATGAGCGCCAAAATGTGCAGATGTCGTTCTGTGACGCATGTTCCACCTTAAGCACTTCAAAAGCACTTATTTAGTTCTGCTGCGTACGCTTCTTTTCTGTAGCAGTATTGGTAATCACTGCAATCAGGCTCCCTCAGCCGCCCTTTAACAAATATGATTCATTGGGAAATTACCATTCAGACGCCCATAACTGCATTTAGATAGCTGCTTAGCAAATAATAAACATATTTTTAAGATAAGCCTTACAAGTGTGTGCGATGATATACAACTTTTGGATTGGCGAGCCAAGTTCTGACCATTGATCATGCAGCCTGATGCAGTATGCTGCAGGCTGCATGCAACCATGTTTTGCAATTTTTATCAATCACAAAAAGAAGTCTTATGATTTTAAGTAACAACTGAAATCTATATTCAACACCTCCACATCCTAAAGCTTTTGCAGCAAAATAGCACAGATTGCTATTTGGGGAAGTACATTGGTAGCACAATCAAACTGCGCTTTCTGAAAAGGAATGTTTCAATTAGGAGTACATGAAGTCGAATGAAAAGGTGTTTATCAATTTGAAAGCCAAAACAGATGAAATTAGGACTCAGGTAGCCAGAAAGTATTGAGCACTGAACAGCATTGTAGCCGTACATTGTACAATTTTCCAATGTTATTGTAGCTTTTCCACATGAGCTGACGAGAACATGTCCAGCCTTTGCACTTTTTTGCGGTAATTTTCAAAAATACTTTGTCTTTTATGAATCTGAAGGATTCAGTTCGTATTTACCGCGATGTGCTCTGATAAGATGTCAGGGTTCAGGAAAACCTGAGGCCCTGTGCCAACTTCTTTTAAGTAACGCGGCATGAATCTGGCCAAAATACGTATTTAGACACTCAACTGAGATGTTAAAATCATTGAGCAGTTTCAAAACTATTTATTATTCAAATTTTCTAGCCTGGGTTGGAGGCAGAGGCTCTTCACTACAGCTTTTGTGCCTGAGCACTTTTCTGAATCATACGCCCATGACAGGTTGTGTAAGAGAATATACATATTGCAAATACGGCGCACATATCCGTCGAATTGCTCGTTTACATGAATTCGATGTGTTTTCGATATCAGCTATAACAAAGTTCATTGAAAAATACTGAATCTGCGAAGAGACGGAGGTAAACCCGAATTCCAGAAGGCTATTCCAGCTGTAAGTGGTGGCTCCATAATCTTACAAGGGAAGGAACTTGGTCGAAGTGCAGTTTCCATATAAGAAGTACACTGTTTTGTAGAGTACGAAACGCTTATTCCAAATCCGCTTTCGGTATCTGCAAAGCACTTCTGGGAGGGGGGGGGGAGGCTCTGAGAATTTTTGGCAAAAATTCAATGTTTTGGCTAAGGTAAAAACAAGTGTTGAGGTGTCTTTCCGACACGAATGGAGTCTAGCATAAGTTTTCGACTGAGTGCATTAAGTGCATAAAGAGTCGTGGCAGTTATCATGGCCCCATCGGAGCTCACAGACTAAACTTCTTAATGATTTTATTGTAGCTGCGTGTTCAAATTGTGCTCTACAAGATTCCCATTACTCCCCTTCGAGAAGAGCTTTGCAGGTAATGAAAGCAGATTCAAATTTCGTTCTATGCTCTATAAGATAATTTATATTATATGGGAAAGCCACTTCGACCAAGTATCCCCCCCCCCTGTTATATCGCTCATATGTCTAATACTTTGATTTTCGCCAGGTAGAGCGGTATAGATTACTGATTTTCGCCACGTAGGCAGTATATTACTTTTGTTTTTGATGCAATATCAATGAGAGAAAGTTTCATGAGCATTTTTGATGTGAACGGTTAGTTCCTTTGGAAAACCATACCCTAACTCATCTCCTCCCATTTGGTGAGCGAGCTGAATTTCGCAAGCTTTCAACTAAAGCTACTGCTTGCTTTTAGTCGCAATCTTACATCGAGCCGTAGCATCAAGCTGTTTTTAAGGAATTCACAATTCTGGTGTGATATCAGTTTGATGGTTTGATTCAAGCCGCATTTTTGTTTTCAATCGAATAAATCGCGTTTGGCAACCTTTCAAGACATGCGTGCCCTTTTCCTACATTGTAACTAAAAACTGAATAATCACAATAACTCGCAACATAATCTACATTATGTCAGAAAGTGAATGCGTCACACCCATAGAGAAGAGTTATTGAATTGATTGCAAAACTCAAAAGGGGGCTTTCATTCCCTTCAACCAGAAAGTTTCTATGTCCTACACCTGCAAAGAAAATTTCTATACCGCATCTAGTCTGGAGTAGATTGTAACAGTCATGAAATTCCTTCCACATATAAAGGTCTTGATATACATTGACGTTTCACGCTGTAATGCCACGTTGCATCCTTACTTACT